TTCATTACACAATACTACTTATACAGTATTATACAATAATACTGTTCCAGCTTACATACAACTTTGACTTAAGGACAGATCTTGGGAACGGAACTCGTTCTTAAACTGGGGACTCCCTGTATCTCAGTTTCTACTTCAGAACTAGTTCCATTTTCAACTCTAGCTTCTACTTTCTTTTTGCCTTCCTTGCATGCGAAGAGGTCAACTGCTGTCCCCCCAACCCCACCACTGCTCACCTGGGTTGATCCATGGGCCGCCACTCCACTGAGTGATACATGCTCTGAACGTTCATCAGCCATTCCCGAAGCACTGCAGTTGTGTTGTCCATGTTGTGATCTGTTGCCACCCTAAGGAAAGAAGTACTACAGGATGAAATACCATCCTACATTTAGCAGTTTTGCAACTTATATCCACTGCCAAGGGGAAACTTTTTTCTTTTTCAATCTCCATGAGGGTTAAATTGAACGCCACATTTGTTTTATGCAATTCTGAAGACGGGATGCATTTTGGAGGGTGTGTAGAACTTCAGCTTTGAAGAGGACAAAGTGTTTTGGAACATGGCTGGTCAGGTATTTAGCATCTGTTTGCAACACTTTTCCTGGGATTATGTACCATCTGCAAAGGTCAGCCACAACGATCCCAGGAAAAGATGCACACAAAAAAACAGACAGCCCCGGTCTGAAAAGAAAGACAGGAAAGATGCTAATCTTTAAAGCCACTTCTTGAGACTAGATGGGTCTCTCCAAAGGGAACTGCCTTTCTTGCAGGCTTATTTTTAAGCCTTCTTTCAACCCAGCCGCACCACCGCTCAAGAGCAGAACATCAACAAGCTCTGTGCTCCTGAACGAAACTGCATTTCTATCCATCCTGACGGACACCTTAGACACGCGCTCATGAGGGAGGCCAACTTCAGAGGGGACAAGTCTAGGGTGTCTACCCCATGTTCAACGTGCCAGGGTATCACTAGCCAGCTGTCTTTCTGCCCCCAGTGGATGTTCGGTGATCCAAGGGGGGAGAGAGCTGGAAGGGCTACACGTGGAAGGCAGCCACCTCCGG